CTCTACGAGTTTATCACCGAATTTTGGCGCGTTTTATTGGTATTCGCAGCATAAACAACACACAGTGCTTATCCTAGCAACATGGCACACCAGCAGCTGACTGTTGATTTCCAGTACAGACGGTATGTGGTTGGGGTGGTTGCGGCCACCATCCTGGTTGTCCACAGACGTAAGCCAAGGGAAGAGGAGGAAGACGCCGGGGTCAAGTCCAGCGCAAGGTTTGGTTGAGGACTTGGCTTCTCCGACACCTTGCTGCAGGAGCTTGCACGAGAGGACAGGACAGGGTTCCAGAACTTCCTGTGGATGGACCCGTAGTTGTTCCTGGAGGCGGGTCGAGGTCGGGTCGGTCCAGGGATAGAGAGGCAGGTGACCTTCATAAGGGAACCACACGGACCAGCTCTACGCCTGGACATCTCTCTCTGCTACCTGCCGACAGGCAACTTCTACAAGACCCCCTCGAGTACGGGTTCAGCTCTTTGTCCTGTTCGGGGGTGAAAAGTGTGTGTGTGTGTGGGGGGGGGGGGGGGGGGGGGGGGGGTATTGCGTTCGGCTTCCACTTCTACATGGGTTTGGCAGGGAACTTCTTGTCCGGATGCACCATCACGCTCTCTCCCCAACCCCTCCCACACACACACCCACTCCCCAACAATGTATCACTTGATTGCAAATCCAACTTCTAAGAACATAAGACACCAAGAACTGACTCAAAACATTATTCCCGTTTGAAGAATCAAACCGGGGCGTCGGCGTGAAGAGCGAACGCACTATCCACGGAGCTACCGACGTTCCTTAACCACACATCATTCATATACATATGAATATACTGTATATCCTCTGGTTCGTAAAACAACATTTAGAAGATTATTTTTAAATTGCCGAGATCGAATCATGGCCCCAGATAAGTCAAGGAAATCCCAAATGTTCGTACGTTACTAGGAACATCAGTTAGTCAGTACCCTTTCACCGCTGGTCGCGTCAGCTGAGACACAACGGATACAACGGCAAATCACATTTCCATGCCCACTATGACTACGCCATGGAATACGAGTCATCTGATTATATTTCCATTATGCTGATGTCAGTGTTGTGCAGGCTCCATGCGAGCTCATATGAGGTTTCCACACGAAGAAAACAAAACATTACCAACAGTTTTTAGGGGAACACTAGACAGTCCTCTCCTATAACCCAGTCGGGGGTAGGAGATTCGCTCGCCCAGTCAGTCGACAGTGGGAGGCCATCTCTCTATAGTTCCAAGCTCAATGACTTTTTCACATGTTCCCATTTAGGTCTCGCTGACATTCCACGATCACGACATTCCAGCACATCAGTTGATCACATTCTTGCTGTGCGGCAAGTGTTAGACATGTGTTGGTCCACTAGCACGTCACTCCAAGAAAGACTACTCTCCCACAACATATTACGAACAATGAGACATTTCCGGAACAGCTACCGAAGTTAATTTCCCGACACGAATATAATCCGTTCTTTGCAGCATTGAAACACTTGTCAAATAAACACGGGACTGGGTGCGTGCTGCCCTGGAGGTGAACAACACACTTCAACAACATTTAGATCTGACAACTGTCAGCTTGATACCTTTATAGACGGAGGACAGACCCTGACAAGAGGATTTGAAACAACATTTGGCTGAATTGCAATAACAGAGATAATTCTAAATATACAAACAGAGCGACTCAATATCACAAAGCGATTCACGGTCTCTGTCACCATAGCTTAACTACAATGGCGTAGCGTAAGTAAAAAGCTGTCTGCCTTAACAGCAGATGCTTTAGTATTGAGAACCTAGTATTTGTCTTATCAGCAGATCGTTCAGCAATCTGCCTCAATAACTCCAGAGCAATGGCGCGTCGTCAGCAAGCTTCTCTGTGTCATCAGCCAATGCTGCAGCATTGAGAGTCCTATATTATGAGTCGATGCTGGAGCATTGACAGAACCTGTATTATGAGATGAGGTGAGGTGAAATGAGGTATAACGTCGCGTCCAAAATTACTGAACTTTCATTGCGACGTGCATGTATGTGTATTTGTGAGCCTGCGTGCGTGCGTGCCTGCATGCGTGTACTAGTCCGGACTTATGCCGACTAGCCTACTGAGACACCATGCCACAGTTTAACACGAATACCCCACTCAGACACAGTATACTGACCCCGAGCCGACAAGTCCGTTTTACCCCCTAAATGCCGAGCGCCAGGCTGGGTAACAACAAGTACTATCGTTCAACGTCTTTTGGTATGATGGGCCGTGGATCGAACCCCCGACCTTCCGCTCTGCAGGTAGACGCTCTGACACTAGACCACGTAGGCGGTCACCTGTAATAGGAGCCGATGCTGCAGCATTGAGAGTCTGTGTCATATGTGCACATCATTCAGTATTGAGAGCCGCTGTCTTATCAGTAAGCTCGTGTTTCAGCATTGAAAGTCTATGTCTTCTTAGCTGCGGTTTGCATTCAGAGCTGAGAGTTGTTTGATCAGCAGTATCAGCTTTGAGAGCTTATCCAGGAGAGATCGGCTTGTGTCGGTCAAAGATGGCGGAATACGATCAAACCATAATGATCTGGTAATGTCGTCAGCTATTTACGTGGAGTACTATTACAAGTGACATTTTAAAAAGTGTGGCGCTTGGGGATCGCTACATATGAGATGTTTATGCTAGTATCTTGCTAATCAGAAGTTCGCCAGTAGGATGTGCGGGTGATGCTTCAGTGTAGTGAATGTGATGACAATTTAAGGGCTGCGGTTCGCGTTCTCTGGGTGACGGAGCGAGCGGGAGGGTTGGTAAGAAATGTTTAGGTCTGAGTGACAGGGTGAACGACTGTGCGGGTGCGGGCCAATATTGGTGTGGAAGTAGAGAGGTATGCGTGTCTCGGGGGAGTGAGTGAATGTGTGTGGTGAGGGGGGAGTCAGTTGTCAGGGTGAGTGAGTGAATGGGTGTGGTGAAGGGGAAGGGTGTGGGTGTGGTGAGGGGGAAGGGAAGGCAGATGTCAGGAGGAGTGATTGAATGGGTGTGGTAAGGGAAGGGGTAATCAGTTGTCAGGGTGAGTGAGTGAATGGGTGTGGTGAGGGGGTGGGGGTAGTCAGTTGTCAGGGTGACCGGAAGGGGTGGGGTGGGGGTAGTCAGTTGTCAGGGTGACTGGAAGGGGTGGTGGTAGTCAGTTGTCAGGGTGACCGGAACGGGTGGGGGTGGTCAGTTGTCACGGTGACCGGAAGGGGTGGGGTAGTCAGTTGTCAGGGTGACCGGAAGGGGTGGGGTAGTCAGTTGTCAGGGTGACCGGAAGGGGTGGGGATAGTTAGTTGTCAGAGTGACCGGAAGGGGTGGGGGTAGTCAGCTGTCAGGGTGCCCGGAAGGGGTTGGGGTAGTCAGTTGTCACGGTGACCGAAAGGGGTGGGAGTAGTTAGTTGTGAGGGTGAGTGAGTGAATGGGTTTGGTGAGGGGGTGGGGGTAGTCAGTTGTCAGGGTGACCGGAAGGGGTGGGGATAGTTAGTTGTCAGAGTGACCGGAAGGGGTGGGGGTAGTCAGCTGTCAGGGTGAGCGAGTGACTGCCAGACAGGGGGTGATCAAGGCATTATCTTGATGTAACCCAGGACCAGCCGATCCATACAGTCAGTGTACGGGTGTACATACCGCGGCAGCGTTATGATGTTAATCAGTACAGGGACGCCACAAGATAACTGCATAAATGTGTCTATTTAAGACAACGCTGTAATACACAAGGCAGGGTCATGGGGGATGCTTTTGATGCTAAATACATTCATTACGCCGGATTGTTTAGATCAGATAAAACAGAACGTCAACGCCAGAGAATAACAAGAGAATGTCCGGCAACAATAGGTTTGCTCCTCTTGTAAAGAAGAAATATTCAGTCACATACATGTACACCACTAGGGAGCGTCCTACATGGTACCCCAGGCGGGATTCGAACCCGATTTTCGACGTTTCGAGCGAGCGCATTGACAACTGGTTAACCCTACCCAGACATACTTACGTCTTACACTCATCTGACACCCCGTCCCACACTCGCACCATCCATTCCCAAGACACCAACACCCATCTCGTTAGTCTGTTTTTGATACGCTGCCTACTGCAGTATTCGCAATTATGTAACGGAAGGAAAATGCACAGCTGTAGTGTAAAGCGTGAGACAAAGCCAGACACGCCACAATCACACTGGCACCAAACACGATACACCGGCGCACCCAGGTCGGTCGCTATCGATGAGGAAATTAATTGATATGCAGCTCGCCAGTGATGGAAACAATCCAATTACATAAGCTGGGCCGAGAAGCTGGTAGGAAGCCAGTCCATGTCACACGCCACACTACGCTGTGTCTGGCTTCGGTCGGCTTCGGAGGTAATGAAAACTATAAGGGAATAACGTTGTACGTTTCTTGAGGAAGGACTGCTGCCAATGTACTAAAGTTGCAGGAAATAATTATTAGCATAATCATAATTTTCAGATTATATAAATAAGAACAAGTTGGAATCAACTGGAATCATTAGTCTATATATCTAGACCTGCCTATCAGGAGGATAGGATTACTACACATCTATGGACTTTTCTTTCAGTACAGCCTCGCAGCAAGGCTACCAATGTCCCTGCCAGGGCGTGGTCGTGGGTAGCAGTCAGCTGATTGGGCAGGAGTCCCATTGTCAGGAGCTGTTGGTGGCGTGGTCTGTGGGCGTGGTCTGTGGGCGTGGTCGTGTGAGGGGTGGTTTGATTGGTGTGGACGGCATATGTGCTGTTAGACGTTTTAAAGTCACGTATACCCATGTCCAGGAATGCATGGTATCATTTGCTCTTTTTAATTAAGTCAAAGTTAAAAGTAATTCCTTTTTTATGTATAAAAACAATTTCTTGAACGCGCTAGATTTAGGGAAGAACATAATCAGACAGTAAACAGGTGAACATAATCGATACAATTAATTCTAAGATGAGATGCTTCGTTCAAAAGGAAACATGTGTTGAACTAAAGCAGTACTTACCCTGATAGCCGTGGAGAGAGGAGAGAAGACACAGACAAGCAGCAGGAGGCAGTCGATCAGTCTGGAACAGAGAAACCACCTTATTAACAAATGGGAATAGAACACACCATTGAATCAACAGGACGAGCTATCACGGGGTTCATTAACTATGTTATCAACAGTCATCTCCAAAGAACGCAGTCGCGGCGCCGAGTTGTATGCTCATCGTTATTGTGTAAACGGAATAACCTTTATATTTAACGGACCTGTTATATTTGTGACGTCATACACGAGCTTTACTTCATCAATGAGGACAGAACGTACTTCTGTCATCGCATACATGTGTCCATATAGAAACTTCCACTATAAGATGTACATACAGCAAAGTTAACTCATCATGTAAGATACTGTGGGGTCTGGTTGTTAAAGCGTTCGCTAGTCACGCCGAAGGCCTGGGTTCGTTCCCCACATGGGTACAATGTGTGATTTCTGTTGTCCCTCACCGTGGTATTGCTGGAATATTGCTGAAAACAACTTTAAAAAATCTCACTCACTCATGTATATATTAAGTGCGGATCTCTATCGCTGACACAGCGAATAATGACCAAAGTACGTTTCACCACCGAGAAAAGGCAACAAGTTTTACAGTTCTTGTGAAAAGAGAATATTGGACACAACAGACAATCTTTCATGTCACGAGGGGCGAGTGAGTGGGTTGGGTTTCACCCGGCAGCGAACAGTCATCACAGCGTGTCTGCTTAAAGTGGGATAGAGTCCCGAGAGGATGCAGGTCCTATACATTGTTATATGGCACTGTATTTTATTGTTGAACAATGATTGTGGCTGTGAGACTCGGTAGACGCTCATTGCTTTGTGTTTGGACAGTGATTAGTTGTCAGGAATGTAGTACTAGTATATTTAGATCCTAGTATGAAATATGTCATCTTCCGGAATACCGTGGACTGTGATAGTGTGTTATAGAAACATCTGGAATATTCTATATTGTGTGGGCACTGTGTGGAAGTTTTCAGTAGCTTGTTTGACGCTATATAAGGGGACAAGAGCATGCCTCTCGTATCTCACACATTTCACCAAGAAGCCAAGAACCACAATCAGGCTGAATCAGGGATTCAATCCACGATCACGAGGTCTGGCCAAGGGACGCAACTCTGCACAGCGGACTGCTGCTCTTCCGACTACTGAGCCACCAGTGGCACCTCAGGTCCAATAGAGTTTGGTACACCGGAGTGCCAAATCACTGCAGTGACAGGGCCATCTTTCTTGCATGCTCCCAGTTCACCTCTCCACACACATCTACAAGCATCGATCACAATCAAGCTCTATCCAGCTAACATTTGGCCATGTAAAGTTACATATCGTCCCTGATTAGAATTTCAGTGTTTACACTCGCGTTAAGACGTTTAGATAATAATTTACATGCGTTTACATGGAGTAAATACGCTTCTGTTTAATTGCATGTGAACCTCAAAGTCTCTCGTCAGAAACAAAAACAGCGTTTTTTTCTGTTTGCATGTGATTTATTAGCCGATGCTCTTTGATTTCAAACGGACTCGTGGTTTGTTTTTTCTTGGTTCTTAAACCCACAGCCGCGTTATTTACTTTCGGATTTTATCTTATTGACACACGATCACTGCTTTAGACATATAGAGCCTGCGCTAAACTACAACACGGATACGTGAACTAGATTCTAAACGCTGGATAAAAAGTCAAAACGCTTAGCCTCGATAAAAATGTGTTGAAGTATACAAGGGTCTTACTGAAGGCGATAACACCACACGAACAATGACTATTTGTCTCTGTAATCTGACATCAGGAAACATGCAGATTAGTTATAGCTTTAATCTGCGGCTGAATGGCAACAATCTGTCCGATGAGCACTTGCCCTCCAGGTGACATATCACATGCTGACTAAGATGCAACCCGGGATGTGTGATATGTTTCTTAGATTGCACATCTCCAGCTGATTTCAGTGATACCGCCCTTGCACTTGTGGACGCGGTACGGCGGCGCAATTAGTGAGATATATCTATTTACAAGGCACTTGAGAATTGTATGTCCGGACGCATTGTAAACATGCAGGCTGTGATTGCATAAGGCATTGAAGTGCAAGTATTCTGCTCGCTCTTCACACTGTTCCATAGTATGTTGGCAATGCTTACAAGGTGACATACTATGACCCTTACCATTAATCTACATTCCTTGCGAGTGGGAAATTTGTACCGAGAGGGGGTTGTATTACGGGGTCATAATACTAATACAAAAGCCTCTAGTGCGGGGAGCCTACCTGTGGATCAAAACACATGCTTTCACACAACCTCTGACCTCTATCAGGCCCATGTCGGTGGGAACAGAGGTTGCTCGTCATACTGGCAGGGAGATGTTCCAGGGTAGGCAGAGAGATGTTCCAGGGTAGACGGGGGATGTTCAAGGGCAGGCAGGGGGATGTTCCAGGGTAGTCAGGGAGATGTTCCAAGGTAGACAGGGGATGTTTCAGGGTAGTCAGGGGGATGTTCCAGGGTAGTCAGGGGGATGTTCCAGGGCAGGCAGAGAGATGTTCCAGGGTAGGCATAGAGATGTTCCAGGGTAGTCAGGGGGATGTTCCAGGGCAGACAGGGGGATGTTCCAGGGTAGTCAGGGAGATGTTCCAGGGCAGGCAGGGGGATGTTCCAGGGTAGACAGGGAGATGTTCCAGGGTAGACAGGGAGATGTTCCAGGGTAGTCAGGGAGATGTTCCAGGGTAGTCAGGGAGATGTTCCAGGGCAGGCAGGGGGATGTTCCAGGGTAGTCAGGGAGATGTTCCAGGGTAGTCAGGGGGGTGTTCCAGGGTAGTCAGGGAGATGTTACAGGGCAGGCAGAGAGATGTTCCAGGGGAGATAGGGGGATGTTCCAGGGCAGGCAGGGGGATGTTCCAGGGTAGACAGGGGGATGTTCCAGGGTAGACAGGGAGATGTTCCAGGGTAGACAGGGAGATGTTCCAGGGTAGTCAGGGAGATGTTCCAGGGTAGTCAGGGAGATGTTCCAGGGCAGGCAGGGGGATGTTCCAGGGTAGTCAGGAAGATGTTCCAGGGTAGTCAGGGGGGTGTTCCAGGGTAGTCAGGGAGATGTTACAGGGCAGGCAGAGAGATGTTCCAGGGTAGATAGGGGGATGTTCCAGGGCAGGCAGGGGGATGTTCCAGGGTAGACAGGGGGATGTTCCAGGGTAGTCAGGGAGATGTTCCAGGGTAGTCAGGGAGATGTTCCAGGGTAGTCAGGGGGGTGTTCCAGGGTAGTCAGGGAGATGTTTCAGGGCAAGCAGAGAGATGTTCCAGGGTAGTCAGGGAGATGTTCCAGGGTAGTCAGGGGGGTGTTCCAGGGTAGTCAGGGAGATGTTACAGGGCAGGCAGAGAGATGTTCCAGGGTAGATAGGGGGATGTTCCAGGGCAGGCAGGGGGATGTTCCAGGGTAGACAGGGGGATGTTCCAGGGTAGTCAGGGAGATGTTCCAGGGTAGTCAGGGAGATGTTCCAGGGTAGTCAGGGGGGTGTTCCAGGGTAGTCAGGGAGATGTTTCAGGGCAGGCAGAGAGATGTTCCAGGGTAGTCAGGGAGATGTTCCAGGGTAGTCAGGGGGGTGTTCCAGGGTAGTCAGGGAGATGTTACAGGGCAGGCAGAGAGATGTTCCAGGGTAGTCAGGGAGATGTTCCAGGGTAGTCAGGGGGGTGTTCCAGGGTAGTCAGGGAGATGTTACAGGGCAGGCAGAGAGATGTTCCAGGGTAGATAGGGGGATGTTCCAGGGTAGTCAGGGAGATGTTCCAGGGTAGACAGGGAGATGTTCCAGGGCAGGCAGAGAGATGTTCCAGGGTAGTCAGGGAGATGTTCCAGGGTAGTCAGGGGGGTGTTCCAGGGTAGTCAGGGAGATGTTACAGGGCAGGCAGAGAGATGTTCCAGGGTAGATAGGGGGATGTTCCAGGGCAGGCAGGGGGATGTTCCAGGGTAGTCAGGGAGATGTTCCAGGGCAGGCAGGGGGATGTTCCAGGGTAGACAGGGAGATGTTCCAGGGTAGTCAGGGAGATGTTCCAGGGTACACAGGGAGATGTTCATTGGTAGGCAGAGAGATGTTCCAGGGTAGACAGGGAGATGTTCCAGGGTAGGCAGAGAGATGTTCCAGGGTAGGCATAGAGATGTTCCAGGGTAGTCAGGGGGATGTTCCAGGGCAGACAGGGGGATGTTCCAGGGTAGTCAGGGAGATGTTCCAGGGCAGGCAGGGGGATGTTCCAGGGTAGACAGGGAGATGTTCCAGGGTAGACAGGGAGATGTTCCAGGGTAGTCAGGGAGATGTTCCAGGGTAGTCAGGGAGATGTTCCAGGGCAGGCAGGGGGATGTTCCAGGGTAGTCAGGGAGATGTTCCAGGGTAGTCAGGGGGGTGTTCCAGGGTAGTCAGGGAGATGTTCCAGGGCAGGCAGAGAGATGTTCCAGGGTAGTCAGGGAGATGTTCCAGGGTAGTCAGGGGGGTGTTCCAGGGTAGTCAGGGAGATGTTACAGGGCAGGCAGAGAGATGTTCCAGGGTAGTCAGGGAGATGTTCCAGGGTAGTCAGGGGGGTGTTCCAGGGTAGTCAGGGAGATGTTACAGGGCAGGCAGAGAGATGTTCCAGGGTAGATAGGGGGATGTTCCAGGGTAGTCAGGGAGATGTTCCAGGGTAGACAGGGAGATGTTCCAGGGCAGGCAGAGAGATGTTCCAGGGTAGTCAGGGAGATGTTCCAGGGTAGTCAGGGGGGTGTTCCAGGGTAGTCAGGGAGATGTTACAGGGCAGGCAGAGAGATGTTCCAGGGTAGATAGGGGGATGTTCCAGGGCAGGCAGGGGGATGTTCCAGGGTAGTCAGGGAGATGTTCCAGGGCAGGCAGGGGGATGTTCCAGGGTAGAAAGGGAGATGTTCCAGGGTACACAGGGAGATGTTCCAGGGTACACAGGGAGATGTTCATTGGTAGGCAGAGAGATGTTCCAGGGTAGACAGGGAGATGTTCCAGGGTAGGCAGAGAGATGTTCCAGGGTAGTCAGGGGGAAGTTCCAGGGTAGTCAGGGAGAT